TAGCACTCTAACCTTAACACAATTATTTGCAAAGTCAAATGCTCCAAATCTGAACTGTCTGAATTTGACTACAGGTCGTCCATCAAAAGACCTGTTTTTCACTTTTTGTTTTTTGACTTCTTTTGCAATAAGGGGAGGTAAGGATTCAGTAATATGCAATAGGACATGAAACTTTTTGCCTTTGGTACTAAAGACCTGAGCCTCGGTACCGACTAACTTGCTTGCTACATGGAGAGCCCGTCCATATTATGAGTCCAGCGTAGGCGCCTTCCTCCAGTATCGCTCACTCTTCTTACATCACATCCAAGTAGGAACAAAGGGATAGAATGGTCACCACCCTTCTAAGAGGATGAATCATTTATTATTAGCGAAAACCAACAGAAGAGGCTGGTCCAGGAACTGGCTTTCACTGCATTCCATGGAGGAAATGCAGCTGATTTCAGTAATATACTTTATTTCCATACATCTAAAATACTGTCATTTCAGTATGTACTCAATATGAAGAGTGGAGAGATTCTGCATCTTTTTTTTGGTACTAAGCCTTTGTAATCCAGTGTGCTTTTCACTTACCCCTCCCTTCCCCCCTGCCAGCCTCCCACCCTGGCCCACTGCACTGGCTGTGGGAGGCGGGTTTACCTTCCACCCCAGACAGAACCATCCTCCTTGTTCCCATAGCTTCACCCATCCACTGGCTAAAACTGATTTCACATGATTCTGCAGCCAGCTAGCAAATCAGGAAATCAACATCAACGCACAAGCCCTGAGGATAACTCAAAGCATTTCATTACCCAGACAGAAATATGGCCCAAAGGAAACTTTTTACAGGCAGCTGTGGGCAAGAGAGGAACAAATATCTCCAGGGTATAGTTCATACTAGCAAGGGAGGAGCAAGGAACAGATTCCTAGAGTGACATTTCCTGAAGGGAGTTCTGTAGACACTCAGTTCAAATCTGCTGTGGGTGGAGGCACGCAGTAAGGCAACGATTGTGCCAATGATAAGAGGTCAGCCACCAAAAGAGCACAGTGTACCATCCCCCTTCTCCAAGTAGACTCTCAGTGAAAACGAGCACATTAAAGCGTCTGAGAAGTCGCGCAGTAAAGAAAAATGTTTCACAAACAGGACTGCGGAACTACCATGACTACAAATTCACCTGCCTTAGAACTGCAGACTGAAGTACCAGCTCCGTGTGATTACTGAGCAGCTGAGACACAGCTATTTCAAACTGAGATGGGCTCTAAGTGAAAATGCACACTGGACTGCAAAGGCTTAGTTCAAAAAAGGATGTAAAAATCTCTCCACCTTTCATATTGAGTACGTACTGAAATGACAGTATTTTAGATGTATGGAAATAAAGTATATTACTGAAATTAACTGCATCTGTTTACACTTTTTAAATATATGGCTATTAGGACACTTAAAATCTCATACATGCCTCACCTTATTTTCTACTGGGGTAGTGCTCAAAATTCAGAAAATGCTAATCAACAGCACATGCTCAGAAACCTCAGACACATCATATTATCCTATCATATCACCACATTTGTTTTTTCCCTGAAAGAGATGTACTGCATCCCAGAACTGGGGATGAAATAAAAACAGATGAGAAATACACCTGGATATTCAGACCAGGGTGGGTAAGACAGCCCACCTAGCAATATAAAATTCCAAAGGTATCAAGGAATGAGTATTTCGGCTTTTGTCTATTATCCCTTAGACATTTATGTAACAATAGAGAACTATTTTGCTTTGCCATTCACTCCAAGGCTCTATCTATAAAGTTATTGCTAAACATCATGCTAACAACTGAATAAATCCAGGGTTTGGTAACTGAAAACAGAACGAAAAGACAGAAGTTCCTTTAGGGACTGCCCGTGCGGGCACTGCTCCAGACCTGCTGGGTCACGTATTTCTTGTTCTACAGCAGATTCTAGTATCTTTCACTTACTCCATGACTTTGGGCATATATATATTCACCTATTTCCTGTGAAAGGGCCAAGTAAGTGAATGCCCACAGTGCTTCCTGGAGCATGTGACCCAGACTGCGAAAGTCAACATTTACTGTCCTAGTCAACTCGTGACACATTGCCAGAGGAGAACCAGTTGCGTGACTGAACACATAGCCTGCTTTGTAGTTCAGCTTCCCTGCTTGCGAAAGGAGTGACAACATCCATCACACAAAGGAACTGGGGGATCAAACAAGGTGACGCTGGATGCAGGGCACGCTGCCTGGCACTCAGGAAACACCACTTCCCTCTGACTCCGCTCTGTGGGCTTCAGTCATCTTGGCCACAGAGTTAAGAGACTAGACCTCAACCTCTGGTCCTTTCAAGACTTCAAAGTGAGAGGCTATCTATGGTCAGTCATTAAAAGGCAATGAAGAGGACTAAAAGCTCAGATCTGTCAGACTAGGACAGAAGTGGGCTTTCCCCTTTCTGGAGTTTTTACTCAAAGGCGACAGTTCATTAATGAATTGGCTGTTATGTCCAGTTTCCAGGGAATCGCTGGGAGCGACTCACACAGCGGCCATCAAGAGTTTCCCAAGGTCCCGAGGAAGCCACCCAGCTGGCAGTGACAGTCCTCCATGGGAATGGCTCCACTGTAACATGTCCTGTCCTTTCACTACTGAGGTTCCATCCTGTGCCCTGCTCGCTCACGTCCCAAATAAATCATTTGCCGTCATTAAAGATGGATGCCTCTTCTTCCTCAAATACGACAATTTATATGAAACATGATGCTTCTTCCTATCCTAAGACCAAAGTCTCTCTCCTTTCTCCATTCTGTTTAATTTCCGTATGTCCAATCACCCTGTCAGCCCTATAGAAGAAGCTAAAGGGAGGCATTCTGAGAGATCTGGAAATATATATTATTCTTAATTTTTTTTCTCTGAGTAGCTGATCCTACTGTTATGAGGTCTAAAACTGCCTAAGTAATGCTGGGAGTATACGCTATTGGATTAAATAAATTTGTGATAAACAGAGATATATTTGGAATAGTCAAATTCTTGGGTGGATTTCAAATGGATCATAGGCAATTTTAGTACATGTGCTGCCAAAGCGAGCACTGGATCATAGGCAGTAGGGAAACTTATAGTCATTGACTACTTAGGCCAGAGTGAGTCAGAAAACATCAATATTTCTAAGTGTCTCTATAAATCAATAAGTCCCTTATCGATTCATGTACATCAGTATTAAGGGGCTAAAGGAGGTCAGAGGTCTGCATCACCAGAACCCCACAACCCCTTGTGCACCAAGGTATGTGGAGGAGAGATTGAACCTCTTCATTCTCAGGCCAGCTGGGCAGCCACTGGGTAGTCCAGTGGCTAAGGCTCTGTGCTCCCAATGCAGGGGACCTAGGTTTGATCCCTGGTCAGGAAACTAGATCCCACATGCCCCAGCTAAGAATCCTGTGAGCTTCGACTATGACCCCGCACAGCCAAATAAACAAACAAATATTATAAAAAAAAAAGCAGGGGGGGGGGGGCAATCTGATCCCTTCAAGCAGTCAGCTGCCTCTACCCTCCAGGCCCCAAACCCTCTTCCAGTCAACCCCCAATGTAGGGGGGCCTTCATATCTGAAAGCTTCAGAAAGCTGAAGGCTACCAAATGCTCAGAATGGAGAATTCCATCCTCTAAGATCTTCCCAAGCTTCACAAATGGACCACTTTCTCCCCTGTCCCCTAACATGCCCCCTCTATGCCCCGTCATAGCACAGATCCAGCTGCCTCACGTGTGCTTACATATTTCCCCCATCTACCTGGATTCCTTGGACCCCACCCCCACCCCCGCCCCCGGCCCCAGGCCCATCACAATACTGTTAGCAGATGGGAATTCCATGGCAGTCCTATGGTTGGCTCCTCAGTGATGAGAGAGAGCCTGGGTTCAATGCCTGGGCAGGGAACTAAGATCCCACCAGCCATTCGGCCAAAAATAAAAGAAAAGAAAAACAATGTTAGCAGAAATAGGAATATCTATTGGATTCTGGGATTATGCAAAAGCCACACAATAAATAAGAAGCATCTTCCTAGATATCAAGCTTAAAACATTTCCTTGTAAAGACACTTTGAGGAGAAAGCAAAATCCACAGGGAGGTTAAAAAAAAAAAAAAAAGCAGTGGTCTCCTGGCAGACTGGAAGCTTCCAAATTCAGGGTGATGCCCCAGGTTGTCAACTGGACAAGCTTTCTGTCCTTTCTGCTAAAGAGGTCCCTACCTGAGCGGAGAAACCCAGGAAGCTCTGAACTCCAAATGTGCCCAACTTTCTAAGAGACTTAAGAGTACTTTGCCAGGGGTCAAAGATCACCAATGTCGCTTTCTAACTGGAAAAACAAAAACAAAAACAGGCTAATCTTGCCCAAATAACTCAGAAAGTTAATGCTGGGGACAGGAAAAGAGCTCTCTCTCTTCAATTACTGGCCCAGGACATCACAGGATTAAGCTTGTAAGAGGACATCATACTTTTTTAAAGCCTGAAATAAGGCACTAGAGCGTGTATGGGTCTGAGACCCTTTGATCACTTCCTGGAATGGAGCCCCATCAAAGGAACCCTAATTTCATGCCTCTCCTCTTTCTGCTTGGCTGCCTCAGCAGTAAACCCTTACGGGCTCTAGATAAACACAAATCAGAAGTACCACTCTTGGGCCCTTACGGAAGCCTCAGAAGCCTCTTGAAAGTCAGCACGCCAGGTGGATCAGCGGATGTGCAAACAGCCTGACCACCCAGCTGGGCGGCGAGGCAGGGAGCGAGCTTCCGCACTCGGTTTAGGGCCCCTAACAGCCCAGAACTTTCTGAACTTTTCTCCACCCTCAATCTTCAAAGACTTTCGGCCAACCCTGTCCCAAAGAGGGAGCCGAGGGGCAAAGCGAGGATCCTGAGAGGGATGAAGGGGGTTCTTGCTGCAAGTGCTCTCCAGGGGCCCGCAGAAGGACCCCGCAGGACTCCGGGTGCCGGGGGCGGGGAGTTGGACAGACACGCCACTCAGCCCCGCGTCCGGGGCCGCACTCACCTTGGCAGACGTCTCTCCGAACAGAGGTCTGTTGTCCAGGCCACTTGTGCCGTAGGTCCTGGTGGAAAAGTCCTCCATTTTAGGGTTTCTTCACTGTCCCCGAGCCACTCCAAGCCGAGCCAGCATTGCCTCCCGGAGACCCGGGTCTACGACTCGCGGCGCCGCCGGTCACCGAGCGCTCATCGCCGAAGCCCAGGGAAGCCGGAGTCCCGGCGGCGGGGGTGGGCGCTCAGACCCGCGGGACGAGGCCGCTCCGCCCGAGCCTCGCTCCCCTCCTCATCGTGAGCAGCTGCCGCAGGAAGTGAAAGGAAACAACACCTCGTGGCCGCCCCGCCCGGCCGCTCCCGTTTCCCCCAATCTCAGCGCCCCGAACCGCCCGGCTTCTCCACAGCTCGCGATGCAAATCGGCTTGGCCGGGGCTCCCCGCTTCCCCGCCATCGCCGCTCCGCTCTGGGACACGACCATTTCCCGAGCTTTCTGAATGTTCTGGTGAGCACGGATCCCTCCACGCTCGAAGGCAGGGAAAAGTTTTCCCGGGAGAAGGCACTACCAGCCCTCCGCACCGCACCGCTCCGCCCCTCTCGCCCCCGCGGCCAGCGGCCCGAATAGTGAAGCTGCGGGAGCAGAGCCCAGCGCTGCGCCTGCCCCTCCCGCGGCGCTGCGGGATCAGGTCGCGGCCGCGCCGAGCAGCTCGGATCCCCGCTCAAGTGTTGCCGGCACCCCCGGGCCGGCGCGCTCTCGCGGCGGAAGACGGGTATCCTGCCTCGGCCCCGCACCGCTGGGCCACCCTCCCGGAGCCGCCCCGCGCCCGCAGGCCAAACCTCGGCGTCTCCAGCCGCCCGCACGCTCGGGAGTCCTGGCCGCACTGGGGAGCGCGGGTCCCGGTCCACGCCAGCGCGGGGATGCGGTGCCAGGCGTCAGGGAAAGAGAGAGAGAGAGACCTTCCGCGCGGGCGGCGAGAGTGTGCTGCGCAGCGGGTCCCCGGTCCGCTCCCACGGCCGGGACCCGCGGCCACTGTCGCAAACCGACTCGGCCCGCCCAGGCCACGTCACGGCCGAGGCCGCCAATCCCGCACGCCGGGGCGCCGCATTGGCTACCGAGCCTTATTTCTAGAGGTGCCTGTTTATTCCCCGCGAGGCAGCGGATCTCCAGGCTCCCCGCTTTCTCTGGCTCCTAGTAATTAGCGCTTGCGCGACCCACGTGGGCAGAGCACATCTCAGGAAGATAGCCTCGCAGTGGGCTGAAAGCTTCTTAAAAAACAACCAGCCTGCTTTAACCACGCCGGTCTTTGCACCACTAGGATGGAAAGGGAGTGGTTGATAAATTAGTTGTTTATCATGTTTGTGTGTTTGTCTGGTTTGTTCTGTGATAGGGAACCTATGTCGTGGACAGAGAGGGTCAAGAGGTAATCCGTGCTTAGGTTTTTCTTCGACTTGTCCACTCATCCTGCTGATGATGCTGCTGAGAGGCGTATGTGTAGCCGCAGAGGAAAAAATGCGTCGTATGTCAGCCTCTTCGGGTTTGAAGCTGGAGAACCAGAGGTGGACAGGCACCCTAGGCAACCCAGCGTCACTCTGCATTTGGGAGCCTTTGTAAGTATTAGGGAACAAATGCAACCACGCTAGGTAATCCGGACACTACAGCTCCTACACTGAAGCGAGCTGTGACTTAGGTTTGTTCGCAGGGAGAGCGCGTGTTGGAACACTGTAGCCCTGTAACACTTAGAATCCAAGACACATTTCCACGTGGTCCCTCGAGAGTTTAGGACAAAAGATTAGGATAAGGGATGGACTAAGAATCACAAAGCTACAGTAGAATCAGGTACGGAGCATATCGATCTACCAGCTATGTATTTTATGGATCTTCTCTTTGTCAGGACTTTTTGTTCTAAGAGGAATGCTACACAATCTTGCACCCAGTTCTATTAGACGTTTGACCCAATAAATAATTTTATTCACTCACAGGCGGCCACATTCATTCAACAATACTTCTGAGAACCTGCTCAGTACCAGGCAACCACCAAATAGAGTAATACAGTCATCAAGAGACAGTCATGGTCATAGTGTTGAGGCTGGAGTGGCATAGAGAGATACGTGACACAGTGGAGTGACTAATAGCACAAGCTTTGAGGTTGATTATATCTGCCCTCAAACCTTGATGTCACCATCTACAAGCTATGTAATCTTGGGAAAGTTATCTAACATCTAACCTCTAGAGCTCCTTCCGATATAAAAAGTGAAGATGCTAATAGTAAATGGAACTAGAATATCTAACTTCACCCTTTAAAAAAATAATTGAATAGAGAATATTTAAGACACCTGGCAAGTAAGTTTCCAAATGGTTGCTTGTTTGAATGCTTCCTTAGTCATGTCTGACTCTGTTACCGAGTCAAGCTTGCTCTCCTCACTGCACGATAGGCCAGTGAATCCGAGATGAGGTGTTGAGGCAAGGAAGAGGCTTTAATCCGGGCTGGCAGACTGAGAAGATAGCAGAGTAGCTCCTCAAAATAGCCATCTTTTGGGGGTCTGGATGCCGGGTTCTTTTATAGATCAGAGAGAAAGAAGCAATGAGGAACTGAAGTCAAAAGGCAGAATAGAGAGGGAGAGGCAGTGGGAAAGTAAAGTGAAAGGTTCTTCAGTCTTGCAAAACATCTCCAAAGGGATGTCCAGCCTTTAGAAAGGGTGTGTTAATCTCTTCTATTCACAGGTGGGCAGGGACAAACAGTCTCTCCTCAAACTGAACAAAGGCACATTAGTTTACAGTCAAGTAGAGGGGCAGGTTCCTCTAAACAAGCCATTGAGTATAATTATAATAATAAAGGCAGGTCAAAGAAACAGTTTCCAACATGGGGTCAGAATTGGCTTCCTCCCTGCAACATTTGCAATCACACGGATTGTAGCCTGCCATGCTCCTCTGTCTATAGGATTATCCTAGCAAGAATACTGGAGTGGGTGCCATTTCCTTTTCCAGGGGATCTTCCTGACCCAAGGATCAAACCAGTGTCTCTGGCATCTCCTGCATTGGCAGGTGGATTCTTAACCACTGAGCCATCAGGAAAACCCCACACTATGGAGATGCACTCACCCTATTCTGGTGGCAGGGAAAGCTTCCCCAAGGAGCGTTTTAAATCAACCCCCTCACACACACACACAAGAGAGCATACATTAGCCAAGGTGAAGAGCAGAGTCAAGAAGACAGGCCAGAGAGACTTGATATCCATGTAGGGTGTATTTGAGGAGGAAGGTTGAGTCAGGAATAGTGACCCTCTGGCTCTTTAGCTGCTTATTCTCTTGTCTCATGTCATTCAAAGAAGCATTCAAGCAAGCAACCATTTGGAAACTTACTTGCCAGGTGTCTTAAATATTCTCTATTCAATTATTTTTTTAAAGGTTGAAATTAGGTATTCTAGTTCCATTTACTATTATCATCTTCACTTTTTATATCGGAAGGAACTCAAGAGAGGTTAGATGTTAGATAATTTTCCCAAGATTACATACCTTGTAGATGGTGACATCAAAGTTTGAGGGCAGATATAATCAACCTCAATTGATGAGGTTGAGAATTTTCTGTGCTTCTGTTCCATTCCTTTTCCTAAAACCCAGTTTCCTCATGACTGCTACTCACCCAAAACTTCAATAAACCAATAGCTTTAGTTCAGGTTTGTAGCTAAACTCAGGGAAAATGGATTATAGCTCCAGTGCCCACCACTGCTTGGGGGGCTCAGTCTTTCGTCTTTGAGTTCAGATTCTCATGAGAAATTTCAATGGGCTCAGTCCAGATTATAGACTGATTTCTAGTTGCATAAGGTCCTCCATCCCCAAGAGTCAACAGGTGGGACCACCCCCTTGAGGATGGTTCAGTTCAGTTCAGTTCAGTTCAGCTGCTCAGTCGTGTCCAACTCTTTGTGACCCCATGGACTGCAGTATGCCAGGCTCCCCTGTCCATCACCAACTCCTGGAGCTTGCTCAAACTCATGTCCATCAAGTTGGACATGCCATCCAACCGTCTTATCCTCTGTCATCCCCTTCTCCTCCCACCCTCATGACCCAGCACCTGGGTCTTTTCACATGAGCCCGTTCTTTGCATCAGGTGGCCAAAGTATTGGTGTTTCAGCTTCAGCATCAGTCCTTCCCATGAATATTCAGGACTGATGTCCTTTAGAATTGACTGGTTGGATTTCCTTGCAGTCCCAGGGACTCTCAAGAGTCTTCTCCAACACCACAGTTCAAAAGCATCAATTCTTCGGCACTCAGTTTTCTTTATGGTCCAACTCTCGCATCCATACATGACTACTGGAAAAATCATAGCTTTGAGTAGATGGACTTTTGTTGGCAAAGTAATGTCTCTGCTTTTTAATTTGCTGTCTAGGTTTGTCATAGAGTTTGTCAGTGAGGAGGGTAGAAGATTGTTTAAATAAAGAAGAGACTATGTCCGTATCAGGTCAATGATAGGATTTTCCAGTGTCTTGCTGCTCAGAGTGGTTCCTGGACCACAAGCAGGGCATTACCTGCTAACTTCTTAGAAATGCAGAGCTTCAGCCCTCACCCTAGATCTACTGAATCACAATCTGCATTTTAATAAGATCCCCAGGGGACTCAAAAGTCCACTGAAGTAAGAAAGGTACTTTTTCATACACCTCCATTTTTACAAATTGGCCACATAGATGACACAGCCAATAACGTCACTTCTTATTTCTTGATCTTCATTGTGCTTCAGCCACTCATTCTAGTGCAACATTCTGGACTTTGGCAACACCCAGAATGGCACTGTGTTTGAAATAGGCCCAGATGGACCATTTAGTAAGCATTCTCCTCCATCCCTTTAAATCTCTCACTCCTGGTCGGTGCATCAGTCACTTCAGTGTCTCCGATTCTTTGGTTTCTTGACTCCTTCTCAGTGGATCTACTCTCTCGCTTTCACTTTCTTCCAGCTTAGATTCTGTGTTCTATCACTGCAGTCACTCTTGTGAAAGTATCTTCAGTTCTCTTATCCCACACCTGGGCAGAAAGTTCCCTAAAATACTAACCCTTCTGCTTTCTCAACACCTGTGGCCAGGTGTCTAGTGCAGCTGGAGGGGG